AGGTGGTCCAGCTGGGATGTGGCAGTACAACCACCTGCCCAAGGTGGCCCTGCACAGTTGTGCGGGCTTTTCCATGAATAAGGGCGCCCGGCTGAGATGGTGAGTGGCGGCGGTTATCTGATCTTCCTCGCTTTGGAAAGCAGAGTGCCTTGGTGCCCTGGCTGCTTCCACCTAGGGGAGGCGATGTTTCCCCTTCTCCCCCGAAGTTCCACAAAACCTTGCATCAGAAAATCTAAGTGCTCTTCGGTGGAAGCCGCATTTCCATTGTGCAAAACCGCGTTAAAGGCTAAAGACCACTCTGCGGATCAGCGCCTCCCGGGTCGGCTACTCCCGCTAGCAGCTCACAGCTGGACGTGCCCTTTTTTTCCCCAGGGCAGGTTCCTCCCCGGGTGGGTCGGTTTCCCGCCTGCACTCTCCCCCAGTTCCACCTCCCCGCTCCGGCCTCTGGCTGACCGCCCCCCTCCCCACAGGCAGCGGACAGATCCAGCTGTGGCAGTTTCTGCTGGAGCTGCTGGCTGACCGCGCGAACGCCGGCTGTATCGCGTGGGAGGGCGGCCACGGCGAGTTCAAGCTCACGGACCCGGACGAGGTGGCGCGGCGATGGGGCGAGCGCAAGAGTAAGCCCAACATGAACTACGACAAGCTGAGCCGCGCCCTGCGCTACTACTACGACAAGAACATCATGAGCAAGGTGCACGGCAAGCGCTACGCCTACCGCTTCGACTTCCAGGGCCTGGCACAGGCCTGCCAGCCGCCGCCCGCGCACGCCCACGCCGCCGCTGCAGCCGCTGCCGCTGCCGCCGCCGCCCAGGACGGGGCACTCTACAAGCTACCCGCCGGCCTCGCCCCACTGCCCTTCCCCGGCCTCTCCAAACTCAACCTCATGGCTGCCTCGGCCGGAGTCGCGCCCGCTGGCTTCTCCTACTGGCCGGGCCCGGGCCCAGCCGCCACCGCTGCCGCCACCGCCGCGCTCTACCCCAGCCCCAGCTTGCAGCCCCCGCCCGGGCCCTTCGGGGCCGTGGCTGCAGCCTCGCACTTAGGGGGCCATTACCACTAGACGGGGCGATCCGGTGACTGCGGCCTCGCCCGCACGCCTAGAGTCTCGCCCGATCCCATCCGCATCCCGAGGAGGGGCCCCGGAGCCTCCGCCAACCGTCCTCTAACCCAGAGTTTACTCCACCTGCCGCACCCAGCACCGGGGACCAGACAGAGCCCCCTCAATCCTCCTCTGGCACTAGATTTGCCCCTGTCCCACCCCACAATCCCCTGAGGAGGGCCATGTGTGCCCTGCTTGACTTTTTTTTCTTTTCGGTCTCCAGGTCCCGGATCGGGTTCGTTCTCCCCACCACTCCAGTGCATTTCCGCCTGGCTCTTAGAAGCCCCATTCAATATCATTTCTTTTTATCCAGTGCCAAATATTTTCCCACTTTTGCTCTCCCCTACTGAACTGGTCCCACCCCAGCACGTGGAGGCCTGTCACGGTCCTCACTCCTGGGACTTGAGCAGGTTTGGTGAGAGCCACCATCCCCAGGACACATGGTCCCCTTCCTCCTGTCCCCACTCTCACAGGAGGGCCCAGTGTGTTTCCGACCCTTTCAGCCCCATTAAAGCTCCTGAGCGCCCCGCTGCCTCCTCTCTCTGTTCTTTGCTGCACCAGAACCCGTGGATAGGGAAAAGCAGGGAGAGGCTCATCTGGGGCCAGAGCAGAGACCTGCCAAGAAAGAGATCCCGAGAAGGAGGGTGGCTCAGGCTTGGGCGCCGCCTGCCGGGAATGAGAGGCCTGGAGGGTGGGTTCAGCCTGAGGGAGCTGCCTTGCCTCACACCCACCCTGCCAGGCGGCCTCAGCTCACCTCACTCTATCTTTCAATTGCCGGGCACCCCACCCTACCCCTACTTCCATCCCAGCAGACACCGCACCCCACCCTCCCCATTTCAGTCACCCTTCCATCTTCCCCTCACCCCACCATCCCAACAGACACTCCACTCCAACACCTTCCACCTCCCCATCTCACCCATCTTTCCACCCACCCCTCACCGTACCCTATCCCAACAGACACCTCATCCCACCCTCCCCATCTCACCCACCTCCCACTAGCCCCTCACTTTACCTTTTCCCAATAGGCACTCGTACCCCATCCCCTCCATCTCACCCATCCTTCCGCCCGCCCCTCACCCCACCTCAACCCAACAGTCACCCACAACACCTCTTCCCCATCTCACTCATTGCATCCGCCCCCACCTCATCCCAACCTTCACCCCTCCAGGCTCAGCTTCACCCTACCTCATCGTTCCCTCAGCCACTTTATTTCATCCCCTTCCCCAGCCACCCTCCCCTCCTCATCCTGCTCTCACTTCGACTTTGTCTCCCCGTCCCGCACAAACCGCCCCCTCCCCCAGCATCTGCCGCCGACTTTCTTCTGGCTCGGCTTCCTCCTTTGCAGAAGAAGGGGTCTCTCTCCCTCCCCGCTCCAGCGCTAGGGGCTCGCAGCCTCCCCGCAGGCACTCACGGCTGCACCTCCTTCTCGCGGGCGGTGCGCGCCCTCTGCTGGTCGGAGGAGGGTACGCCGGGGAGGGCGTTGTACCTAAACCGGGATGGATTTTGTGCGCCCCGCTGTGTAAACTCAGGTGCCTGGCCAGACTGAGCACGGCGGGACCCAGTCGTTTCCGAGCCTCCTTTGGCCTTCAGAGAGGAGGGTGAAAAAGGGAACCCTGCCTCCCAGGTCCGACCTCTGGAAGCCCTGGAAGTGGGTCTGGTGGATTATTCTGACTGGGCCTCTTTCCTCACCACCTAGAGGCCCTTCTGAATACTGAGCCCACCTACCCGGGCCACAGCCCTTAAATTATTATTATTTTTTTGTCTTGAGACCGAGTCTTGTTCTGTCGCCCAGGCTGGAGTACAGAGGTGCAATCTCGACTCACTGCAACATCTGCCCCCAGGGTTCAATCAATTCTACTGCTTCAGCCTCCCGAGTAGCTGGGATTCCAGGTGCGCGCTGCCAAGCCAGGCTAATTTTTTGTATTTTAGTAGAGACGGGGTTTCACTGTGTTGCCCAGGCTGATCTCAAACTCCGGTGCTCAGGCAATTCACTCACCTCGGCCTCCCAAAGTGCTAGAATTACCGGCGTGAGCTACTGCACCTGCCTGGCCCCTTAAATTCTATTCGCACATTTTCCAAAACCTTTTGGCAGGAAAACTACCTTAAACGCCTTGGCTTAGAGGAAAACAACCCTGGGGGAGGTGCCTAAAGGGACAACCCCAACCTCAAGGCAGCTGTGCCTCAAGGCAAGTCCCTGGCTCCCCTTTCCGCCCCCGCCGTCCTGGCTGTTCTTTCCCACGGGCACACCTCTTCTTGGGCACAGAAAGGGGCAATGCAGGCACGAGGCGGGACAGTCGGGAGTGTGGGGTGGGCCTGATGCCGCTTCCCAAAGAATTTAGCTAGGAAAAAAGCCTTTATTCACTTTCATTTTATTTTTCACTTTATTTTTTCTAGTTTTCCAAAGAACACACACTCAGCATAGAAATTTTGGAAGCGTACACCTAAGACCTCCTCCATGAAACATTAGTTGGATGAAGCATGTAAAGAAACATGAAGGAAAAGAAAGACCCAAACCTACAGTCCTGTTACACAGACACCACTGTTACTATTGATAATTCTTTGTCAAAATCCTCCCTTTCTTTTCTCAATGACTTTTATTTATTTTTGAGATAGGGTCTCACTCTGTTTCCCAGGCTCCCAGGCTGGTGAGATGTCAGTTTACTGCAACCTCCACCTCCCGGGCACAAGTGATCCTTCCACCTCAACTTCCTGAGAAACTGAGACTGCAGGCATGTGCCACCATGCCCAGCTAATTTTTGTGTGTTTTGTAGAGACAGGGTTTTGTCATGTTGCCAAGGCTGGTCTTGAACTCCTACGCTCAAGCAATCCACCCACTTCAGCCTCCCAAAGTGCCTGGGATTACAGGCATGTGCCACGGTGCCTGGCGAACGCCTTTTAAAATTTGATAATATCCTGCTTTCATAACTGAATAGAGATTAAGTATGTTCCACATCATTATGCCCTACACACTTCCTGGGGTAGGAGAGTGGGCTGGTGCATTCTCAAGCAGGTGAGTCAGTCTGGCCTAGTGGGGTCCTCTGTGACTTTCTGCAGAGAGTTCCTTTACAGCCCTATTTGCAGGGGTCAGGAAGCTGGGGGGAAGAAGAAACATACCAAGGAGATACAGCCAGGATCCAAAAAGATCTGGGCTGCTAAAAATCGTGGACTGAATGTAACAAAGTAAAATTTGTGTTTTTTTGTTTGTTTGTTTGTTTTTTGAGAGGGAGTCTCACTCCGTCACCCAGGCTGGAGTGCAGTGGCACAATCTCAGATCACTGCAACCTCTGCCTCCCAGGCTCAAGTGATTCTCCTGCCTCAACCTCCCAAGTAGCTGGGATTATAGGTTCTTGCCACCACACCCAGCTAATTTTTGTATTTTTAGTAGAGATGGGGTTTCATCATGTTGGCCAGCCTGGTCTCAAGCTCCTGACATCAAGTCATCCACCTGCCTTTGGCCTCCCAAAGTTCTAGGATTACAGGTGTGAGCCACCACGCCTGGCCACAAAGTAAAATTCCTCAGGAAGGACTGTGAGGCCCTGCTCTTATGTCTTTAAATAAAACAACAGGAAGTCAGAGTCTTGGCAAAGGTAGGGCTCAGCAGAGCCTGTGTGCAAATGAGTAATGTCTTAGCCAATGTAACATTAAATGGGAGTCCGTAGGGTGAAGTGCAGAAAGATCATTGTGATCCAAGGACGCACTGATGGAGTATGACACCTAAGATGAAGGAAGTGATCCACTTGCTTTAATAAGTCTGCCCCCAGGAACATTGTGCACAGTGTTACTTTCAGGAGGAGACCAAATGGAGGACACACAGTGTAGATGACCCAGGAAGTGAAGAGGAAAAACAGTGGAAAGCCAACAACAATGTGAGATGTATCTGGAATTTCAACTGGGGGAAGGGGAATGGGAGCTGTCCTCATTTACTCAAAACGTTGTCCTGAGAAAGAGGATCTGGATGCATGTGACTAAGGGCAGTAATGGGACATGTGGTTGGAAGCTCCAGTAAAACAGATGTCACCTTGATCTAATGAAGAGCCTCTGCTATAGAACATGTTGGATGAGTTCTCTGTCACCAGAATGTTCAGCAGGCCCTTTTGTGGGAAGCAGAGAGGAGAGGTGGACTAGGTGACTTCTCTAACCTTGAGACTCTTAGAATCCTGTGAAGGAGTCACTAAAGGAGGGATTTTAGCCGTTGTTGGGCAGCTGACAATCCATCGCTAGATTAAGGGACCTTCTTACCTATGAAATCACATCCTTCAAGTTCACCCATGCCTCTGTTCTTTTCTGTCCACATAGCCAGTTTGGGAGGCTAAGATACAGAACCGGGGACCAGAAATTCTGAGTTCCAGTTGCAGCTTGGCAACTAACTTGCTGTGTGACCTTCAGATAATCACATCTCTTTTCTGGGATTCCATTCTCATCTCATTAAAATAACGAGGCTGAACCAGAGATTTGCAAACTCTACTCTGTGGAACTTTAAGGGTCACCTAGGTTCTCTCTGTTCCAAAAAAAGAAGAGCTGGAAAACGTCTATCCAAGGTGGTGTATAAGGTTGAACCCAGCCTCAGAATGCAGTCAGTGGAATCCTCTTCTGCAGATTATCTCAGCTCTGGGAGCCCCTCCCTCTGTGATATCTCCAAGGCCTGGGTTACTGTGGCCTTGATAGGACTATAGTCCACCCAGTCCTTGAAGCACCCACACTCTTACCTCACTCAGCTTCCTGATGATCCCAGCCTGTCCTCATGGACCCTTAACCCCTTCGTCCTTGGCCCTTCAAGGTATGGATCCCACCATTGCTTTCCTCTCCCAGTCCAGGGTCAAGTCCCTCTTGCCTTTTCTGAAGTTCTGAGCCTTTTCTCTATCCCCTTATTCAAGTTGCCAGTGAAAGGATGGCTCACTCCCCACCCCCCGTCATGTGCTTGCAGTACAGTTTACAAAACGCTTTCACAGCCATTGTTGTACTGACCTCTCCAAGGTTAAGCAGACAGGGCAGGTGTTGCTTTATCTGCTAGGAGGATAAATAAACCAAGGCTCCAGATGTTAAATGACTTGGTTGAAGTCCCAGGCCTGGTTCCAAGACCTGTGTCTTCTTATTCCTCTGCCAGACTTTTTCCCACGGTTCCAAGTGACCTTTCCACAGTCCTGAGCAGTCGTTGATCACTTTGGTTTTAGGATCATTCCCATGCAGGATGACACAGACCCATATCTTCTCCAGGAACATGTGCTCGGTGCGACTGAGCTCCACTCGCTATCACTTGCAGATGGACTTAGAAGCCCTGCTAACATGCAGCTTGAGGACATTTGTGTTCATACTGTTTGGGACGTGCACAGTCACAGTGCAATGATGCCGCTGAAGGCACTGAGGCTCACAGAGCACTCTCATACACCAGTGCATGTGACCATAGACAGGCATCGCAATGGGCCACTGTGATGCACTTCTCTCAGAGCCTTCTGTTCTTCTGGGCTTCACCTTTCCTTTAATGTGTCTTTGAAATGCACCAAAATGCACTTCAACTTGTTCCTTGAGCTACTTATAATCCACGTCAAGTGGATCTGCTGATGATAAAAGTATGCCTTGCCACTCACTGAACATGACTCTGCCAGGACTTGCCCTATGCTAATGCTTTACAGGTGGTGTTTCCTTTGACCTGGCCACAACCTTGCCAGATGGAGATGGTTACCTCTATTTTCAAATGAGGGAACCTAGGCTTGGAGTGAAGTGGCTGGGCCAGCCCACGACCTGACAACTGAAATCCTTACCATCCCACCAGACCCACTCTTGCTAGCCTTCTTGGATAGCTTCTTGCTCATGTAAAAATGACCTGCTGCTTGCCTGTTACAGGCGCACACCACCTACAATTGGTTATAAAGGACAAATTGACAGCTTGCCTTATGAGTGTCCTTGGTTAGGCCTCTGTTTGATAAGGAAGTACATTTGTCCCTGACAAGAAATAGAGACTGTTTTTTGGCCCCAATGCTTTTGTAAGCTTTCACTTTCCTAACTGAGGCTCTTCAGGCTTGGAGATCACTGTTCTCTGAGGTGGGTGGGGCTCTGACTACACATTGACTTGAGTGCTATTTCCTACTTTGGTTTGGTCAATAGGATTTCTCCATGACACTCCTCCATCTTGGGGTGACGCGTGTCATGTCTAGAGGCAAATGGTTCAATGTCTCATTGACTATGATGTTTCCTATTTCTTATCTTTTCTTTTTTTAGAGATAGGGTCTCACTCTTTTGCCCAGGCTGGAGTGCAGTGGCTTGATCATAGCCCACTGCAGCCTTGAACTCCTGGACTCAAGAGATCTTCCCATCTTGGCCTCCCACGTAGCTGAGACTACAAGCATGCACCACCGTGACCAGCTAGTTTTCATTTTACTTTGTTTTTGTCGAGATGGGGGTCTCTCTGTGTTGCCCAGGCTGGTCTCAAACTCCTGGCTGCAAACGATTCTCCCACCTTGGCCTCTGAAAGTTCTTGGGTTACAGGCATGAGACACTGTGCCCGGATGAATTTTTCTTTCTTTCTTCTTCTTCTTCTTCTTTTTTTTTTTTTTTTGAGGCAGAATCTTGCTCTTTTGTTCAGGCTGGTACAGTGGCACAATCTTGGCTCACTGCAACTTCTGCCTCCTGGATTCAAGTGATTCTCTTGCCTCAGCCTCCCATGTAGCTGGAATTACAGGTGCATGCCACCACACCTGACCAATTTTTGTATTTTTAGTAGAGACGGGTTTTCACTATGTTGGCCAGGCTTGTCTCGAACTCCTGACCTCAAGTGATCTGCCTGCCCTGGCCTCCTAAAGTGCTGGGATTACAGGCATGAGCCACTGCGCCTGGCCCCAGCTGACTTTTTCTGTTTCTGAGCATTATTTCCTAGTGGATGCTGTTTGCTGTTTTTTTACTAGCATACCCTTCTTTGAAAACAAAAGGCAACATAGCTCAGTGGTTAACAGCAGAGACTTTGGGCTGGACTTCCAGGGTTTGGATGCTGACTCTGTCACTTACAAGCTATGTGACCTCATTCAAGTTACCTTACTTCTTTTATTTATTTATTTATTTTAATTTAATTTTATTTTTTCTCTATCATTCAATTACCAATGCTAGAGCAAGGTTACTTTACTTCTTTGTGTTTCAATGACTTCATGTGTAAAATGATAGTATAATATCCATTAAACCTGTCTCATAGAGTTACTGTAAAGATTAAATAATGATTTAAGTACCTTGCTACTTATATCAGTGCTTTCTATTATTAAACAAGCAGACGAAACAATCCAAAACAAAGCAAGCACGTGCCTCCTCTCCCTCTCATCCCCATCAGCTGCCCTCCACATGCCCTGGAAAGGAGCCTGGGCTTACTCTTTCACACCAGCCCAGACCTTGTCCTGGGCCCACGTGGTGATCTTCACCAAGAACAAGCCTCTTGACTGGCTATGGGTCTGCAGCCATGATCACATGGCTGGCCTCCTATGCCCAGAACGTCCTTCATTTCTTTTTTTTTTTTTTTTTTTTTTTTTTT